TGAATCACAGAACCCAAGAATGGACTAACAGTTACCAAAGGGAAAGAGACTGGGGAGAATGGGAGGGTAGAGAGGGAAAAGGGCGGGGAAGAAGAAAGGGGGTATTATGATTAGCATGTATAATGTAGGGGGTGGGGGAAAGGGGAGGGCTTTGCAACACAGAGAAGACAAGTAGTGGTTCTACAACATCTTACTATGCTGCTGGACAGTGACTGTAATGGGGTTTGTCGGGGGGGGACTTGGGGTAGGGGAGAGCCTAGTTAACATGTTCTTCATAAAAATAAAAATAAATAAATAAATAAATGTAAAAAAAAGTGCATAAAACATTCTACACTTCAACTGGGAAAGTTACTCAAGTGAGTTTGTCAAGCTCAAATTGTATAGCTAAAACTATGCATTTATTACATGCAAATTATACCTCAATATAATCAATTTTTTAAAATTTCAAAAAATGTGCTTTATTATTTATGCTAAACTTTGACTCAGTTATGTCCAGCTTTAAGGTCCTATAGTAAAGGATATGAAACATGCATATTGCAACACTACAATATGACATAAAGTGTCAAGTGAAGTACTTTTAATGTCATAGACAATGAAGTAACAATGCTAAAGAACCACAAATGTGCAGACTCTTCACACTCATTTCCATCCTCAGCTGAGCACAAACTTGTGCTCACAACCTCAATCGGGCTCTCAATGCCTTCACAAAAAGCTCAACTTGGCTAACCTCACTGCATTTTTTAGGACTCAGCTCAAGTGTCACCTCCTCCAGAAAGCCTTTCCTTATCACCCCTCACTCTTCCAAACTCCCAGCCTGGCTCAGGAGCCCTCTTCTTGGGGGACATATATCCTATGCCTATCTTCATCACTTGTACTCACCAAAGGGTGTTAAAACCATCTGTTTCATGGTGGTACCCCCACTATACAGAGATCTTTGAGGATGGAGAAGTTTACTCATCTTTGTATCCCACTACAAGAGTCAGGAAAGCTGGGATCTCAAGCTGCCTCATTACATGACCCCCATCATTCACTTGTCCCCCAGATGGAAGTCACTCCATCTGCTTGGTTTCCCACCTACCACAGGCCCACTGAGCTTCAGAAACAATACACTGATTTCAATGCCAATGCAGATTTTAAACCATGAGAAAACAATGTGTGGTGTTTACAGCTCCTGCCTATGACCCAGTAAAGATAAAGTCAGAGATAACGTATGGTAAGAAAAATGTTACTCAAAGCTTTATCATTCATAAACTGATTTGTTTTCAAATGAAAAAATGGAGAACACAAATATTTGGTCTTCTATTCACATGACTGTTTGCTATCTCAAAATAAGGTACATGTCTATCTCAGAAGACGCAAACTAGAAAGGACTTTCGTGCAGCAATATGCCTCATTAAGATGCACATGTCTGCAGCACAGCTTTGTTCTAGGTTCCGTATTTTGGGGAATTATCTCCCATTCCTCCTTAGTTCAGCTGTAACATTTATTTCCCTGTTTTCTCTAAGATTAATATTCCCACATTTAAAAATCATAATGCTTTATAGTTCTAAAGAAGAAATTAAGCTCAATATTAAAGAAAAAAGTCTATTAAAGAAAATTGAACTAAGTCTGGTGAAGTCATGTCAAAAAGATGTATCTTGCTCAAATTCTTGCTCCTATGAGTGATTCCCGCAGATCAAGTTTCCCATAAATTTGTCATCATATTCTTCCTATGCCAATGTATGGATAAAATAAATTAAAATACAGGTAGCCAAAAATATTCTTCTCACAATGAGAAAATATAAATCTAAAGTACTCATTGGCAAGGCTGACCCAGCTCAGAAGCTACAAATATTAATGTATAGTGGTGCTAAATTTCTGTGCTTCGGCATGCACTTTCTCTGAGATACGCCACACTTTGCTTACAATATAAATATTATTTAAGCTTATTCCTGAAATAGCTATTACTTTAAATAACAAATCAATACTATTTAATCAATGTTATTTAAGCAAATAATACCACCTCACATATACTTATACTCTACTTCCAAACTTGAGTTCACACCAACATAAGGTATAACAGGAGGGTTTTATTATTTCAAAAGCAGATTATTTTAACAACTTCAATTACTTTCTTCAGTTGTTATGTGCTACAGTTAATGACAGTTAACATTTTTGATCCATAACATTGTGTTCCAGGCACCAAGCTAAGTACTACATACACTAGTTTCACTTAAACCTCATTTAAAAAAAAAAAAAGATGCTACATGTATTACTGTTACTTCCATTTACCAGTGAAGATACTGAGGCTTGGCAAAGTTAAGCAACTTACCCAAAAGCCACACAACTAGGAAAAGAGAACTGAGACTGAAACCTAGGTGTGACTCCAAATCCACACTCCTCACCTCTACACCTGCACTACTATAAAGCACCATATTGTCACATGCTTGAATATAAAGTTTATAGAATAGGTACCAACTACGCTTTAAATAGCTCTCTGGGTCAAGGCAAAACCCAGAATAATTTGATGGGATGCTTACTAGAATATGGGAAAGTGGATTTATGTCTTTTTATAAATCTCTGATGTTTATGATGTGGTTAGGTGCCAATTTATAAAACTGTCCTTTTGTCCAGGGCAGAAGTAATTCTCCTCCAGGTACAATTCTTACCTGTTTCAATCCCAGATGTCAGGGACTCCTCTAACACTCGAAGATACCTGCATGTCTGCATACATTAGGAGTACGTACGTAGGGATTAGAGAGAATGAGAAGCAGGAATGGAATGCTATGTCACACAATGAACAGGAGACTGGAGAATAATAGCTAATAATGTTTACTCACCAGTAGTTCAGATTCCAAACACCTAATAAATTCGCCCTGCTCTTTACTAGCAGAAGTCTGCTTTAATTATGCAACTTCCATGAAAGTTTCAGAATAAACATCATAATTCTACTAAATTAAATCTCTCATTCCGCACGTGGGATATATAACCACAGTTTCATGAATCACACCTGCAATACAAACCTGGTCAATATTGAGGCGAAGTGGCATTAGAGATACTCTCAAGCAGCATTCCTGTGGCGACCTGCCAGACTCTGGGCGCACATGTAATGCTTTAACTGTCAACTGCAAAATAAGAAAAAATACTTTTTCTCCAATGACATTATGACCTGTTTTCATTAAAAAAGGAAAAACAAAAAATGAAGAGAAGGAAATATCCCATTTCTATCCCTTATATTAAAACAGAAATTGTAATTGTTTACCCTCTTTCCTTAGGAGCCCGAATCAAACTTTTATGAGTCACACATCCCTCAAGAATCTGATGAAAGATATAGATTCTCTTTAGGGGTAAAAATGCAAATGACAATACTGTACTTGCAGTCTCAAAGGAGTCTGCTGAGCCCCTAAAGTGAATTCACAGACCCATATCCAAAACCAGCTTCTACGACATTTCACAAGTCCTGAGCTTGTCATTTCTATTCTACTAAAATTTTAAAGTGCTAGAAATCTGGAACAGTTCCAGCAATATTAAATATTTTGTGTGGATCACTAGGGACTTCTGGTTTTCCTCCGGTACCGATATACTGGCAATCATGGTTAGGGGGCCCTAGAAGCGATGTACAAAATAACTTTTAAAACATAAACCTTTAAGCACCATATTTAAAAGGGATTTTCATATTAAAATAAGAAAAAATATCCAGTAATTTTCCCTAATCAAAATATTTTGCAATTGGACATAATAAAAAATTTTTCCAAAACTAATGTAACAAAAAAAAGAAGTTTTAAATCTTACCATGTTGGAATGAGCTTTTCGAGGCATTTCTTTACTGCAGTACAGGTACAAAAACTTATTCATCTGCGATGTCGCCAGACGATCTCGGATTTCAAGATCCTGCACGACGAACACCTGTCGGGAGACTGGGCGCTCTGAGAGGCTGGGATCGCATTCAGGCTTGCGCGGGGGATAGACTTCGTGCTGAAACTTCACCTTCACAGACATGGAGGAGGAACAATCTTTATATTATTTAAATCAGATTTTCTCTTTAAAATACAAAATACCACTCATCATTTTTTTTTAATTCTCAGCTTTCCATTCCAGTTTTGGAGAAAAGTAACATCCCTTCATTTGTTCACTAGTTTATTGGTGGATCTACACTATATCCAACCAGTGTGACTGATATTTCTCATTTGACCTTGGTAAATTCCCTAACTTCTTCAAGCAAAACCCTCAAAAGAATAAGACATAAAATTATCATTTTGCATACCTATGAAATTGCTTGAAAATGAATGAGTGGAGACAGGTTCCAAATGGGGGCAAGGATACAATATATGAAATTGTCATCACTATGGTATTTCTGTGTTAAGCACCCTAATATATGATATTTGGCACAATCCCAGACAAGCTAACAGAATTAAATGTATGTAAAGTGTGGATAAAGTGAAGGTTCCTATGGCAAGGATTCTCACCTAGCCCTAGTTGGCTAGCTCACTACACATGTGTGGGCAATACATCATTATTGACTCTATATAGAGAGCTCCACCCAGTGCTCTAGGTGACACCGTGGCACAGCTGCAAGGCTGCAAGAGGGCAGAGATGAGACTGGAGTGGTGGCAGCGCCGAGGACAGAGACTGAGATGGCTGCGGGGAGAGAGGCCCAAAGGCAGAGATGGGCTTGCTGCATGCAGACTCGCTCTGAGGGGACGAGATTCTAGTGACTGACCTGCCACTGTGGGAATTAAGTTAGGTATAAACCCTTTCACCCCAAGAATATGCCACTGTCACTTCTTTGGTTTCATTGAATCCATTGTGAACTTGTCTAGGGATGAAACCCATTGGCAAGCAATAAGGTCATTGGTGGCCTGCCCCTACCTGTCTCTAGACCTTCACAAAGGACCTGACTTAAGTGCGAACCAACCTCAAGCACGTCCAGATAATTACTCAAGGGCAGTGGTTCCCCAGGTGTGGTCCTGGGATAAGTAATATCAGAATCACTTGGGAACTCATTAAAAATGCAAATTCATGGACCATCCCTCAGACCTACTGAATCACGAGCTCTGGAGCCCAGCAACCTGTCACAACAATCCCTGGGGGATTCTGATGCTTGCTCAATTCTGAGAGACCCTGCTCTAGGGGTAGCCTGGGAAAACAAAACAAAAGCCTTCAATCTTCTCAGAACGTTTAGGAAAGAAAAAGAGGTAAAGTTTTATACAAGACCCTTGCACCTTTCCAATCTGAAGGGGTGGTATTTACAGCTCAAGACTACAGGGCAGGGGCATAACCAAAGAACCCCACTAATGCTCCTACTTCAGTAGTTTTTTCCTTTCAAAATGCCACCTTACCTTGCTTAACTGTATTTCCATTAAAAAGTCATGGTTTCTTCCTTTTCCCCCGCATACCATATTACGTCCATGTCTCGTGGGTGTGTGAGAAGGTGAACTGTGGGGACTACTATAAACAAAAAAAAATGTTTTTTGTTAAAGGAATATTCAAAGAAAGGCAGTGGATGAGGTCAGGAAAAGTAACAAGGTGAAAAGAGAAGATAACATGTCAGAACTATTAAAACAGTGCCACAAATTTTACTACTATAAATCAAAACCAGATTTTTTATACTTTGGAGACATTGAGAATATCAATTTTATTATTGCCATTATGGTCATCATCTGCTTGCTAAATATTTATAATTACAGAAAAACTTAACTATGATGTTGATGCTCATATCACAAAACAGACTTAGAAACAGACCGCTTATAAGTTCCTTATTACTTCAGAAATCCATTATAATCATAAGAGTACAAGTTCTAGAAATCCCAATTAATAGAGAAAAAGAATTATAGTAAAGTTGTGAGCTTTTAAAACTCCCCTGTAAGTAGTAAAAGGCACTACACTGCTGCACCAAAGGTTACCACTCCAGGAAGCCTTTTCCGACCTTCTCCACCACAGCGAGAATGTTTACCTCCACAGACCTGCCTCATCTCTGCCTCGTTCTCTTCCAGCACCACCAAATGACACATTCATTGACAAACACTTCCGGTCCTCGCCGCTGCACCTGATGCCCTGCTGGGTCCTGTAGACTGAGGACCTGCCTGGTCCCTGCCTCCCCCGGCACACACTTCACCTCATTGCCTTCATTGCTGTCTCTCCCTTTTGAATGGAGGGACATGGTCTCGGTCTTACTCATCTCAGTGAAAGTGCCTCTAACAGGCTCTGGCACTCGGTAAGAACTCGAAAAATTGTGCTGAATGGAAATCACTTAGGTCACAGTATTTCCATAAATATACAAACACTGCAAATGAGTTTACAAATGGAAAACTTGAACATTCAATTACATAAGTCTTAATACTACTTTATTAGCAATTCTTAAGAAGACACATTCTACGTACTTTTTTTAAATGAAAAGAATATATTGGCCTGCCAAATAAACTTAAGTAGAAATTAACTTACATGTAACTTTTAGCTGGAGAAGTAGGAGGAGCTGTTCCAAAATCCTTTCCTCCATAAAGATGCCAAACAAGAGACACTTCTTTAACTACATACCGAATCACAGGGACAGGAAAGTGCAGTGGGGCTTTGCTCGTAGCTGTTCTCTTAAGGGGCAGACTAAAATAATTATCTCTTATCACAATTGTGTCCTCAACCATTATTTTTACAACTGGTTCTTCTTCCTTCTCCTAAAATAAAGAAACAGGTAACACTCACTGTCTTATCTCAGTAGAGACCACTGAGGATGCTGTGTGTCTCAAGGGGATTTCTTGATTGCCCATTCTTTTCAATAATTTCAATATATAAAATGGGGTAAGTATTGACATTAATCATCACACAGGATATTCTGCATTATTAACCATAAAATGGGCTCTTTCTGTTCTATGTAAATCACTCCATAAGGATGTTTTATAGTCTACAATTTGGCTTTTACTATTTGACAATAAAAAGGCACAAATTTTGTGTGTGTCTGTATGTGTGTGTGGTCCTCTGATTCAAAGTCAACACTGCATTTCAAATCTGACATACTTCAACATTCTCCAACCAATTACGACATTCCTAATAATGAGCTTATACTGAATTTGATTGCTTTATTTTTTAATTTCCCAGAACTTAGTAAAATAAATGCAGTCACCAACTAAAACTTTCAGGCAGCTTAATACATATAAACACTAAATGGTGATTCATGGGGCTAAATTGCAGCACCACTGCTTAATAACCATTTTGGTTAATTAACAGTGGATTCATTAAATCTAGACCATGATTTCAAATGTGAGCATGATTCTAAAATGGAAATTATATAATACAGACTAACCATCAGCCCTCACACAAGCCATGTCTTACCTTCCCTGACTCCTGGACTAGTAACTCTGTGCAGCACCCCTTTCTGCCACTTGAGCTCACCACCCTGAAGAGTTATCTTACTACACACAACATCTGCAGGTCAATGACTTATGGTGGAAATTTGGTAAGTACAGAGCATTCTTCTCTGAGAGATGTGTCATAGAAGTAGTAAAGTATAACTGACATTTATAAAGCATCAATACTAAATCACAAAATGAAGTAATTCTGAAGTATAAAGAGCTAGCAAGAGCTAAAGAATCTTTTTTAGGTGCCCTTTGGTCAATTCAATTTGTAACACTATCTTAAGGCCTCAATTATGTTATTAATTTATTACCTGAGTGGTTGCTCTTGGGGCAAAAAGAATGCAGAAGTCATCATTTTCAGTGGGCACACCTGTCATTGCATCACTGATCAAGTGATGAGTGAATGAAGCATAAGTGGGGCTGGGCTCCTGGGACACATTCCCACTCTCATCAGGAAACAGGAAGAGATCTGAACAACAGGGTTCCTGAATTTGGGATTTTTCTTCCAAACCACCTACATGAAAAGATTGCAACAATCAAGTCTGACACATTTTGAAACAAAATTTAGTAAGCATTTTAGCCACATGGGAGATACACATTATGTTGATACTTTCATTCATTTCTAATAACGCTCTGACAACTAACACAAAGACTAATATGTTTGAAGTTCTCTAAGAAAACAGTGATGGTTTCATAACATTACAGTCTCACCTTTGTTATTTGGCATGAGAAAATCTCAGAAATTCAGCAGCACCTGGTTAGTGTTGACTAGAGTTTTGTTTTAGACAGAATTTCATATTGACAATTCTGTCCTGTGGGTGGAGCTCTGGAAGAATTGTCTTGGACAATACTGCAAAGGGGTTGGGGGAATCTAGAAGCGCCCCATCTCAAGCTACTGGGAATCTCTGCTTGTGGACAGGGTGGGGAGAAACAGTTGCCAAGCAAACCTTTGGCCAGGGAAGTGATTCCAGGCAATAAAAATACTACACCTTGGGGTGCTGGATATACCCAAATGGGACACGTGCTCTCAGGTAGCTAAGTATAAAGTTCACAAAAGACTGAAAGTATGCGAAATCTGTATGCAAACATACATTTTCATATGTTTAGATCACATATTAGATTCACTAATTCTTTCTCCTTTTCAGTCATTCACACCAAACATTGTGATATGAACTGAGAACTCTAAGAAAAATAAAGTGACATTTTAGCCTCAAAAACCTCATAGACTAAATTTTAAATTCTATGGCAGCACTTCGGACTTACTCATCCTTCTCAGTGCCCAGGACCTAGTACAGAATCTTGTATATTGAACCTGCTCAGTAAATGTTCATATTCTTTCCCACATAGGTTAGCTAGTAATATTTTATAACAAATAATGTAATACATAAGAAGCTAAAAGTTTACATCCTTTGTTCTAATTTATTCTAAACTAGAATGGAAGCATTTAATGCTAAACTTTCATAACACCATGAAATAATATTTAAAAATTAAAATTTTGTAACATACAGAAATAGCTATGTTCATCCACTTAGGAAAAAAAATATTTTTTGGACAGAAGCTTCAAAATATTTAGATGCTTCCATGTGGCTTTCAACGATCTAGTTCCACCTTGCTTATCCAACTTAACCATAAAATGCTTTTCAATAAGCAGGGAACTATGTCCGGTAACAGCCCTCACTGCTAATTAATAAGGCTCATGTGTGCCTTTGTGCTTCTGGTTATGTTAATGATTTTCCCAATATTACCTTTTTCCACCCCTCTACACACCTAAACCCTATTAACTTTTTAAAAGCCAAGTCATCTCATGTTCACTAAAGTCTAATTAAACAATCCCAATCTGAGCAGTTAGAGCAGTTATTTAACACAGTAAAAAACAACTGAGTATTAGAGAGTATTTACACAGATTGAAGTTGTTTCTCACATCGTTTTTCAATTGTTCTAAGTACTAGCATCAGTCTGGTTTAGTGACAATTTGTTTTACTAAACTACAAGCTACCAGAAAACATTAAGATTTGTCTCCACTTAAGCTGTCTCCCCACCTCAACACTTGGGCCAGTGTTATTCATCCACTAGACAGTCAATAAACACAAGCTGACTAATAAATATCCACCAAAACTCAGACTTGTCTTTTCTTTAATAAGTTACTTACTGAAGAATGTATAAGAACACAATGCAAGCCGCCACTGCACAACCGGTGCCACCCCGGAGAAGTCCTGGTCTGTCTTACCGTTAGGCGGTGGCTTCGCAGATGATGTGGCTCGCTGCATGTCAGCCTCCTCCATAGCATCGCTCATCAAATCTCGTAAAATTTGTTGATCTGCTTCAGGAAGTACTGGACCTCGTGAGGATGATCGACTGCCAGAATCTACCTATAGCCCAAAAACCTAATTAAAAATAACTGAAAATGCTCTAGGAAGCAAACTGCTTAACATGATTTTGTCCTAGAAATATAGTACATTTTACAAAAACACCAGAAAAAGGAATATATTCATTTTTCCATATTCGTCCCAGCAACTGTTACATTTTTATCATCACCCCAACAACTATCACCAAATAGAAATGCATGTGTCTTTGCCTGCCTCAAAGTCAGCACAATAAACTGGGATCTCGAAGAGGTGACAGATTAGAAGAAAAGGGAGGTGACAAAGCTGCAGTAAAACTGGGGGAAGTGAGGGGGGAGCTCTCTCTGAAGACTCTGAGCTGCTCAAATCTGACAGCTGCAATGATTTTCCCACCTTTAAGACAAAGCCACTGTAGGTCAGAGCCTCATTTCTTGGAATAAATGGACCACTAAGTAAGATGCATACCCAAGAGGGGAAAATCTACTAAATGCGATTCCTGGGGTGCTGTTCCAGCTCTGATGCTTAACCGCTACGGATAAGTGAACTGTGGATTCACTCAATCCAGACCATGCCTTTTAAATAAGACCGTAACTCTAAAATGGAAATAGACAATTTGAAAAGAACAATTTAAAATACCTTTTAATACACTAGAGACTATTTTTAAAAGGAGAATAACCAGTAGAGAGGTGTGTCATAAATCACATTATCAGTGAGAATACAGCAGAAACAAGGAGTCAGAACACAATGAAAGTGCAATAGTGAAAACACAATGAAGTGTAAGGTCATCCTGAATGAAAGACAACGCAGGCCACTCAGACCCTTCCCAGAAGCTGCACAACCTATGGAGACTGAGAATTCTGCCCACAGAAGCAGCCATGGAAAAGGATGAAAACACACTGAAAAAATAAACACTAACCACACCACTGGACAGTGCTCAATCTGGACATATGAGAGGGCAGGGAGGACACTTGGGGGTAACAAAAAGCATTGAACCAGGACTCAAACTATCTAGGTTTTATTGTGGTTTCTGCTACTAATTAGAGTAAACTGGCTAAATTCTCTGGGTTTTAACTAATTCATCTGTAAAACAGAGATGATAATCTTTAACCATTCTACTTAAGTGGGTTAAAGGAGATCACATATGAGAAAGTACACTGCAAACTGGGTAGTATTACAGGTAACAAATATGGAAGATAATATTATATAAATGAATCTTTTGGTAACAATACTAACACCTGCCATCTATCTTCTCATAGCATTTTTATAAAGAATTTGCACATAACAAGCTCTGACATGATAAACGTTTTCTTTCTTCCCAGAGGACAGACAAAAATTACTTAAGTCTGGAAAAAAGCATTATGTTGGTTGAGAAGATCAATGTTCTAAAACAAAGAAAATCAAACAGTAGAATGTTTTCCAAAAATGCCCATGGAATCACCTTTCAGACCCCATCACTCTAGAAGTAAGGAACACATAAATTTTTCAAAGTTTCTTCTACCGCATGACGTCAATTATGCAGGCCTCACTGACATAAACATGTCTCTCATGTGGCTGGAATGGGGCAGGGGATGAGCTGGTTCTAATGAGTAATGTGCTGGCTATACCTTCATCTTTCTTTGAGAGGCTCCTGGCTTCATCTCTGCCTCATTAGCTGCATTTAGGTCCCCATAGCTTGCAATGTACTGAATGAGATTCATTAATGCAGCACAAGAATCCGAGCACGTTCTAATGTGGACAATGTCACTGGAACAGTGTAACTCAAAGCGTGGTTCAGTCTGGACAGGACACAGGAAAGAAAAGATGAAAATGTTTTCCAAACGTTTTTATAAACAATTTGCACATAACAAGCTCTGACATGAAACAAGAAGTTTCTTCTTTGCATAGATTTACATTAAATATGATCATTTGTCTTGCCACAGAAATATGTATTTATAGTAATTCAATCTTAAGTTTTAAATATTTTACCTATTTTTGACCAAAATTAGGTAAGGGGAAAAATAATTTTACAGTAAATTCAATACTGTTTTAGTTTCTCCTATAAAAATAGAACTTAAATAAAAATGTCCATTTCTTTTAATAACTTACCTGCTCTCCATCAGAATCAGTTTTCACTGCAGTTATGGTTAATTCCAAAAGC